GAGGCATAACGAAGCGAGCGTCAATCAAATCACACTTGATAGAGGAAATCAACAATAATTGGAAGCATTCACATAAGTCGACTGTACCACTGGTAAACAAGAAGGACCTCATGCTAGTGTCAAGAGACGAATTAACAAAACGCTGCAAACATTCCTACAATCGAAGAACAAAACAACTATCAACCAACACTAAAGTCATAATTTTTAACACGACCATTAAGACAGTTCTACTGCACACAATTGAACCTGAGATAACTTCCAGTACCAACACCTAAAATCCACATGTATTTAGTAAACAGCTGTCTATGTAATATACTCCATATCCATTCTCAAGAGACCAGCAATGATCAATTCTGGTAGAAAATGAAACAGCTACTTCATGAGGAGCGAATTAGAAAACGATTGTGGAGGTGGATAGAACACAGTTTACAGAAACAATTAAACTTCATCACAATGGAAGCCCTAACTTGTAATCCTTAGGGGAAAGTGAAAAAGAGAAAGACCAAAGAACATATTGGCCATGGAACTGGAGGTAGACATCCGAAGGCTGAACAGCAATTGAGAACAACTGGAAATGAGAAATCATGATAGATTTTGTTGGAAATTCCTTGTTGATAGCCTATCTCCTAAGACAGGCAGCAGATTTAATTCAGTAACTAAAGTGTCAGTCGTATATATCGTTGCTGTGTGTAATAACCTATTACTAGCTACAGAATATTTTGCTTATACTAATGAAGTAAAGTAATATATGATTTAAATTGTGCTATTCAAGTGACATATAATCTTGAAAGCGTACAAAAATATTTCAGAACGTTTTTATAATGTACAATGTGTTGGAGAAAGAGGAACACGATTTGAACTTTCTTAGAATATAACAATGATTGTCTCTTATGTGATTATTAGCCTTGAAATGTTAATTTAAAATATTCGGAAAAACCATGTTTTGAAGTTTAGATTATTGTTTATTCAATCAGTTTCAGCTATCATATGGAACTGAATCTCAAAGAAGCCTATGAAGGACGTTTACAGGTCCATTTTGAGCAAAAATCGATATCAAAGAAGATAGACTACTCTCACCTCTTCTCATTCTGTTGGCTACTGATTAGACAGTTAAAACGTTTTAGGCACATGTCAGGAACGGTCTTCTACTATTCATGTAACTCAATGAGACATCGGATACTAAAGATAGTAATCATGCTCATTATTGATTCGTGATGTTTACAGGCAATAAATTGTTTATTACTAGATTTATTAACTAGTTCATACCATTGTTTATTCATCTAAATATTCACTCATTTACTCATTATTTAATGAATATACAAAATTGAAAAAAGTGACCAGTTCGATGCAGAGTTTTATATCATGACACCATACCAATCATACTTCAGATTACCTAGTTTAATTTATAGAGTTCAGTTCGCTAGATCACTTTAATTTCTATACAGTTGTCATTGTTTTCATAATTAAAAAAAAAAATAAGATTCTATATAATTTTGATTTTCATGAAAGAAATATTCAACTATTAGTAATTCAAACAATTGTCAGAAATCATTTAACAATATTGTATTTCTTTCAATTAGTCACATTCTACTCACATGATAAATTATACTTTCTAAGGTAATATGAGACACAAACAATTATGAATTCAGATTTTAATTACAACCGAAACATACTGGTTTAATACATTTCCCTGATTTATATTAAAATATGAATCAACAACAAGAACAACAACAATAAAGGGGTCTGTATTAACATTAAATATTCAATGTCAATATTACAATTTGATTGAATCAGTAAAGAAGAAGTTTGATGCAATAATGACATTTTTGCATACTTTTGTTACTAAAACAATAAGACCATGAAATATTATGTCAAAGGAATGCAATTAATGTCATAAAAATTTTTTTAAAAAAATAGAAAAAACGATATATGAGTCTAACAGAAAGGTATGATGAAATGTCAATTACTTAGGGTATAATAATAAATGATAAGCAACACTAATATAAAATACATAAAACTTACTGTTTATAATCTCTATTTTACTGATTATATGATTCTTATTTAGCGGGTAAATACATTTTTTGGCAAACTATTTAAAACGATCATTATTCTTTTCAATTTAAATTATTTTTCTTCAGATGACCATTTTACAATGACTTTCATCTTTAGTTTAATTGTATAAAATAAGATTGGGTGACTAGAAACATACAATATGTCCCGGAGTGAATAACAATTCTGGGATACAAGTGCATTCAGCTGATGAGTCTCAAATAGGACGAAATGCGCATCCTGAATTCCACTGCTTACCATCGACCATATTTGCTTATAATATGCTTAACATTTTGGAGAAAATTCATAACGATAAAACTGTTCTAATAAAAAATTAATTTGCCAAACTGTTAACCACTTCATTTTGAGTTTTGATACTAGTTTAAACGGTCTTACTTACTTGTTGGGTAAATCAGTTAGTCACTTATTTATTACGACTCAATAACAACTACATCAATATTACCAAATGATTTCCTTGAATAATATTTTGCATATCATCTTTCTGTTGTTTATGTGGAAGAGTGGGACACATGAAAATCGAAGAGAGATATTAAATATAATTGGTTCAAATTTATCACTATTTGAATAGTGACTCTTATTCGTTTTAAACTTTACTACATACCAACTAAAACACTACATGTAGTCTTAACACTACTACTTTTAAAAAACAAGATCTTAGCATTTGAGGTTAAAGGGCTGTAATGTTTTTCTGTTCGTTTCCGTTAACTGAATGATCTATAACACGTACAAATTTATTGTTTATGCAGACAATTATTTCCTTAATCACATGACATTTTTTGTTTTCATTACCTGGATTCATTATGTATTGGTGTCTTACACGTGATTATCAGTTAAATCTTGATAAATGGTATGTACTTTTATGATGTGAATTTTACATTGGATATTGAAAAAAAACCAATGAGTGTATTCGATATACTGTTCAATGGTCTTCTGGTAATGAATACATCTATGATTTTTTTTGAATGGAATAGTCTAGATGCATTGTATTTCAATAGGATGTACACGACAGAGAATAGCAATTTCATTCAAGTTTCATTCGATAAATGTATTATTTATGGAAATTCTTTTGATGTTTATAATTTTTATTTACAATTTGACCTAGTTATGTAGTAAGTCTTTGTTCATCGGTGTAGACGTGGTTTACTTTACTGTACTCCTTCTTGTTCAACTGACTACATTTCTAGATTTTGATCTTTTCATAATTTCATACAACTATAGTGAACGAATACTCACATGGGGAAGACCAATTTATTGTTTAATACGAAATTACAGAGTGATTTTGCAAAATATGAAAACCATACATTAAATACATAATTTGCATATCTTCCATCAGCTATTCCTAAGATGATTCTTTCAATTCTGTTGTTATTACAATTACTTTTGTTTCCCATTCTGTTCTCTTCAACTGAATCTTATCAATCTTCTTCCGGCATGCATTCCACTTTAGATTAGTGCTACATACTGTCATAAGTACACTACACAACAACGTGAATCGATGAACCATTGTGCAGCATTTAAATATTGATGTGCCGCTCGTTCAAAAGTTATCTAATTAGGCGATTTATCTCCCTTTTTAAAGAAAACGTTGAATAGCAGAACTATGTCAGTTTTAATGTTGAAAACGAGATCTATTGGCTATAACTATATTGTACATCGAATATCATAGCTACGTGAAAAGTAGTGACATTGTCATTTATTTTATCAGTCATATTAAAATAGTAAACACTAGAAAATGTACTCTAATTACTGTCGAACTTAAAGTTCCACTAGATGAGATAGATACTCTACAGTAAAATAGTTACCAAACATTACCAACTCCCTCTCTCTGACATGAGAAAATCTACTTAGGTACGCATACAGATTATGTTATGTGAACTTATAACATTAATTTTGCACGTGAAGTACAACTTATCTGTGACGACGGACCACGGGTGAGCTCGGGGAAGCTGTAGGAGGCTCAGAAGGAGCCGAAGATATTCCATCCAATCACCTTTGGGAAGAATATTCTAGAATCCAACGTGTAGCCTCCTGATTGGTCAATGCTAATAACCCCCTGTATGCGGATTGGAGTACTGTAATGGTGATTTTGTTCTAACTAAAAACTATAAATACCTGACAATTTTGTACTATAATTGACACTTTGGAATAATATTCCTTTCGTTAGTCTTCTTACTGCGACTTGGAAGGGTTTTGGTATACGCGGTATATCAAGAAATCAGCCTTTAAGATATAACATTATCAATAAATAATTAAGTACAACAGTAAATGTATGAAGATGCATATTTATTATATGAATGCTTTGTTAAATGAAACAACAAATAAATATTTATGTATGTCTTTATGGAAAATAATAAATAGGATTTAAAAACAAGCCTTTTCCACTTCCTGATATGATAAAAACAAAAAAAATAAATCTTGCAACAACAGAAACAGAAGAAAAAATAAGTTGAATAAATAAACAAATAAATCAATAGAGAAATAGAAACAGACTTCAGTAGTAAACTGGCGCCAAAAATAAAGTCTCTTTACAGTATTTCTTTGTTGTTGTTGTGTTTTTTTGGCCGATCACAGTTTGATGTAAATAATAGGTGAATCACATATGTATTGACATGCTTAAGCTGATATGAAAATATATAACTTATTAAATGATTTTTTTCTTAAAAAGGAAACGGGTTAACAAGTCCCAAATAAACAGGAAATAAAATTAGGACGGATTCATAAAAACAAACAAACAAAGATAATATAAAGAACAATAACTAGAAAATGATTATAGTTTCATAAGATTATAAATAGAAGTTAAGAGTTCTTTTGAAAGTTTGTTTGAGATCAGATAAATAAATAAATAAACAACAATGAATGCTAGTCATTTGAAAAGAAGGAATTGCACATAATAATGAGTAAATGCATGTTTTCTTTTTTCTTCTTTTGTTATGAGATGAAAATGAGAATAAATACAGACTATTGTTCCTCTTTTTTTTTGAAAAAACAAACAAACAAACAAATGAAAAACTAGATTATTGTTATTAAAAAAAAAAGATTTATGACTGAAGTAAATAAACTGAAGGCACTCAAATGTTTTCATGTATGAATTATACTATTAGATCTGGAAGAGCGCAATAAATTCATTTGGAGTAAGAAGACGGATACGTTGTTCTTTATCAGGATAATGGCAAGGATGTCCAAACATCTATAATAATTCAAAAGATTAAAATTACTATTTTTTTTTAAAAAAATGTATGATTTTTGTTATATCCGAGTGAAGATTAAATCACGAGTAACCTTTAAGACATAAAGTCATAACAATTTGTGTAATCAAGATGAAAGATAGAACTTCTTTCTAATAAAATATCCGGTGATTATTAAATATGAAGAAAACTTTGTGTACACATTTTGGAATGTTGTTCAAGCTGATATGTTAATTCAATTGAAAATATACATTTTTTTCTTCATGAATCAAAGAAAAACTAGAATATACTGAATAAATGTTACTTTTAGATAATATATCCTTTAAAGGACTTTTGAAATCAAATAAAATTCCTGTGTTTTACATTCATCCTATCATTACTTAATAATTAAGGAAATCAATAATCTATTATAAGTTAACTTATGTATGATCGTTGCACAAATGTCTAAATAGTATTCAATCAATAAACACATTCCCAAGTTATTTCTGCAACTCCGCCTGGAGTCCCTCTGGGGGCTACTGCCGGCCCCAAGCCTGGATAAAGAGGGAGGGTTGGGCATGGGGTTAGCGACCCCATACCGTAGAAAACCAACGCGCTAAAAAAAACGCTAACCAGAAAAGTTATTCAAACCTTTTAAACTCTGCCCTGGAAGTCAGAAGGTCTTCATTTAGAAGAGTTATGACACCTCATGACGAAAGCCGAGTTCCTTCGAAAGTCACGAGGCCGATGCCCCTTCTGACAACCAGAGCAACCATTTATTTAGGTACATGGAATGTTCATACAATGTGGGAGACCGGGAGAGTCTTCCAAACTGCTGCAAGTTATTTCTGCGGATAGGAGGATAAACTGTTATTCAAATAATGACATCTAATTAAGAACTATCTTCAATATATGTATTAGGATGTAATTTAAAAATATTATTTATCGCAATAAAAACAGAATTTTGAGTTGTTTTAATGACATAATCAAAATACAGTTCATCAGTACAAATTCAAACGTACAATGCAAGTGAATTTAAAAAAAATTAAAATGGTTTATTTTATAGGAAAGATTATTGAGAAATAAATTATTCATTGAAAACGCCCTACCTAGACGTTATAAGCAAAACCCCTGTTTATAAAACTTTTTAGGGAAAAATAATATCTTAAAATACACTGATTATTGTGACAAAGCCGTAAAATAAACACATACTATTTTAAAAACCTCTAACAAATTGATTCAGTACAATATTGTACATGAATAGAGCATATTTTGTTCACTCAAAGAAAAACTGGTAACTATTGTTATTAAGCTCATACTAATCACTAGTAACTGAGTCAAGGGATTTTATGCAACATATTGGAAACCAACGATAAAGATGTTTTGCACTTTCGAGATCTTAAGTTTAGTTTATTTCATTCAACACTTTATTGGGTGGTATACCATATGTTTTTTGTTGCTTGGGAGTAGTTAAACATTAAAAAGAATCGTGTTTCACAGTTGTCCTGGAGGTTATATGTAAGTATCTACCTCCTTAATAACTTATTCTACAATGATTTAATTTTACGATCTTACTAACTAAAAATCCACAATATAATTTAAATATTTGCTAAATAATATTAGGACTAAGATTCCGTTTCTTTATTTACGTATACGTAATTAGGCATTACATGTGATGACAATTTTCTAACGACCATATTTAATTTTTGAACAAAAGAGATCAATAGATTCCTAAAGTATGGATCTTTTCACGAATAAGAATATATTTCTAGTTTCGTGAAATTTGGAATGATAGCTAAACTTGCTGTCTTTGAGAAAGGATATTTATTGCCATAAATCCGTCACAATTCTGGAGACTTAGTTGATGCAATAGACATCATTACTTATCACTCGACTGAATATATCGTGAAGGTATTGAATAATGGTGAAGAAAAGGGAGGTAAGGCCAGTTTATGGCATGGCATCATGGTATGGAAGATAACTGTATACCACTTGTACCTGCCAGTCCACTGTGATTCCTTATTTAGGGTCCCAACAGCCATGTAACTCGGTGGCTTGAGATGTTATCAGGTATGGTTCAGGACAGAAGTTATCGGTGATTCTGCGGCAGTTCTTTTTTAAACCTCATAAAATTGATATGAGTTTCATAAACTGAGAAAAAATCTTTAGCTCTATATCTACCAAGTATTATTTTTGTTCACTTGTTTATTGATTGAACTACCATACTTTTCATTTATGTGGGCCATTTTCGTCCCCCTTATATACACGGATGCATGTGATCAAGTAAAAATAGGTAAATAAAATTAGCGAAACAGGTTGCTTTTCAGAATTAGTGATTAGGCAGTTGGAGTACCAATAAACATTGGAAAGGTATATATATATATAGAGAGAGAGAAAATTAGGTATGTGACTCACCGGCCAAAACAAACAGAAGCAAACTTCGCAGACAGCTAGCTTAGCTGGATAAATATGATTGTCTCCGTATATTTTGAGCAATCTGACATAGGCTCGTTCCAATCACAATCATCAATTGATGCTGGAGATCGAGTATGCCATCCAGGGAGACCATAATTAACGGTTGGTATCTGACTTATATCAAAGTGTGCTAGTGTTAAAGTTTTCCAGAAGTATTTATCTGCAACTACACTGGCTAGTGCACTTGAAGCCAAAGACGCCGTTTCAAGATCCTGAGGAGAGTTTATATAGGTCAGGACATGAGTCAAACATTCAGATGGAAGTCTTTCAAGTTTTATGCCTTCTTCTGAAGAGTTTTCACGTACACTCAAGGACCTGAGCTTGTAAGGCGGACAGGTTGTAAATGATTGAATTTTCTTTGAGGCAAAGGTAAAATTTAAAATTAAGACAGTAAGATGAATGTTATGATATAAACAAGAATAAAAACAAAATTGCTACAAGTTGATGGGCCTTCCCATAAAAACCACAACCAGCAAAAGTCAACTGAATAATAATTACGGAACTCCTCTACAAATAGAAAAATTAACAATTATCTATGCGCTTATTTCAATTACTGAAGGAAGTAAGTCAATTGGTCAGAATGACGAATCAAACGGACTGGACATCAATTAAATCCAAACAATAAGAACTAATTAACCATTTTACAACCCCCGAAAACAAGGAATAACCGGAAAGTTGTAGCAACAAGATAATAACGTCATATTTCGCTATTTGTTTACTTGAAAACAAATTACACACCGCTTTGTTTGTACTGCTTTCATTGACAACGTTTTACTATTTCAAAGCTCTAGAAGCTTTAGTTATTTGCGGGACTCAAACCAGTTAGTGATATTTATACTCCATCTTTCTGAAGTCAAAAGGACAGAACTGCTGGACAGTTAATATAGAATACGGTAGTTGATACTCCAATACTCACTAATATAACTTTAGAATTCTTCTTCAATGACATCTGATAATCCAATTTTTATTGCTTTACATTAGACATACAATTTGTTGGCAAGATGACGGAGATCTGTAGCTTAGGAGGAAGCTTTTATAGGTATGGTGTTTTTCACCTTAGAGAGAACAACAGATCCAAGAAAGAGTATTGTTGGATCTCAAGTAAAAATCTCTTTGCTGCGAGTTCGAATAGGTCGTAAAAAATAATGAAATCCTACCAACACATCAAGACAACGGTTATTGACCGGACAATTAGGTTTTATATACACATTATTTACATAGCTCTCTATCTTTTCTCTCCAGTAAAAATTCTTCCTAAAAGATAACTGACACTAACGCAACGGCAACATCTGAGTTACAATAAACCGTAAATTAGTTTATCAAAATGTTTATTCTATTTATGCTTATTAGAAGATCGAACTAAACATTTACACAATGTAGATAATTACATGACTATTTATATTACTGAAAGCACTGACAAACAGCTGCAACAAAGTATTGCTTTCTCAGTGATGTATGAATTGGAATTTTCAGATATATTAAAAGGAATTTAGTCTGGAAAAACATTAAGCTGTGTTTTTCTTACCTTAAATTCTAATAGAGTTGAGCAGCAAGTAGACTTCTGAGCCTAGATGGTTTTGAGAGACTAAATGTAGGGATGATTCTCACTTAGAAGAACATTTATTATTATTATTAATGGCTTTATTCAATATTATATTTCGGTACAATATAGAATTCTCAGCAATGAGCTTTTAGACGTGAGGTTTTATAGGAAATATATACAGAAAAAGTCTAACTGCAAATTTCCTATAAAGAAACAATAACTATTTGAAACGTTGAATTTAGATGGCTTATTTCCAAGGAAGTGATTTTAACAGAATGTTTTGGCTTATTAATGCAGGCATAAAATGAGACTATCTTCCAAAGCATATGAACTGCTTTCATAGAGTGAATGGATATGTGTATCACAAGTAGACGTTGATCATGTTTCAAAAGGAGCTAGAAGATTATGTCATAGCCTAGTACGTTGGGAGTTTTATCTAGCAATATTATGTTAGCTTATTATATTAAGTGATCTTATACGAAAGGAAAACAACAGAAAACGTGAGGCTAAGTATATTACATAGATACTTCGAAACTCATACAAAGCAGAGAAGCCTACTTTTTCAATATCAAATTCGTCGATACGAATGTACATCTCATTTAGGGCTTTTTATGATTCTGCCAAAGTAAGGCACTTCCAATATGATCATATTCATTTTTCTCTAGATTTTCTCTTAATGCATCCAAAAGCTTTCGAAAACGTTCTGTCTGGTTGCAACTAGCTTGAACTAAATTATTTAAGTATTAGACAACACAAGAACCTTGTTTGAGCACCTCTTTTAGAAGTTCAATTAGGAAGAGCTGTAACCTTCCGGCTAACCTGTGAAAGTGCTCTGAAATAAGAAGTTCAATTATCTAAAACATGAAAACGATGAGAAAAATACTTTGCATATATAATCAAATCTTCTTATGTCTCTTAAAGCAGCTTTGGTATCGAGCTTTAGGAGAGCCTCACTAATTGTTGTTGTTGTAGCGATCTACAGCCACTTTATGGGTGGTTATCGTAACAAACCTCACGAGTAGTCCCTGCTTGAAGGTGTATGTATGGTTGGTAAAAAACGGCTTTAAGGTATTCACTAACATACGGTGTTGACTTCATTTCATCTTCTAATGTTTGCCGACACAGTCTAACATCACGAATAATTAAAAAAATAAACTACAAACCGCTTTACAACATTCTCATTAATGGTTTCAAACATTCTGAGCCGATAAATTTTGGCATTTTCCCACATGCTGCCACTTTCGTTTGTCTTTAGCCACTGATCTCCAGGACATCTCCAGTCTGGACTGAGGAAAGGCATCTTAATACTCAAAAGAATATAACAGTAACAGCTGATTGCAGACCTTCATAGCTCGCTGGTAGAGTCAAACAAATGTACATCGGTATAACGTTCAATGGTAAACCGATGAGTTTCAGATGAACATAATTAGCGTAGAAAGAAATTAAACTCAATCATCTTCCATCTTAGTAAATAATAAATCACCAACTCGATAGCTGTTATTCAGAAACGCCATATCAGTAAACACGAAGTATTCACAGATATTTTGTAAACAAAATGAACTTTATTTACAGAGGACAGTCCCTTTTTATCAGTACGTTTATCTCAAAGAATTCGTTGCCTATCACCCAGCCCGGGCCTTTACATTACTACAATAATAAGCGTGTCCTACACCTAGTGAACATCAAATCTCCGTGTCTTCAGTCTTCAGTAATAAGGATATTAGGTTGGTGAACCTGTATTAATCCTGACACATCGCTTTCCAGTGAAGGTCCAGCTTCTCCTTGAAATTATTCACTGATGGGGCTGATACCACTTGTTCGGGTAAGGCGTTCCAATCATTGACTACTCGATGAGAAAAACGGGACCCCACTTTAAGTTTATTAGATCATGGTTTATGAACCTTCTTGCTATGACCTCGGAGATTATTAATGCTGGAGGGAGCAAAAAGATAAGACATATTAACACCCAAATCATAATTAAAGATACGAAATGCCAGTATAAGGTCACCTTGTGACCTACGATACGACAAGGGGAAAATATTTAGGCGTTTTAAACGCTCATCCTAAGGGAGTCTAGATAGACCCTTCACTAATTTCGTTCCCACACGCCGGACACGCTCAAGGGAGTTAGTATCCTTTACCAGACACGAGCTAGCTGCTTGCATACAGTACTCTAAATGTGGTCCTACATATATGGGATATAAAGTTCGAAACGTTTCCTGGTCAAAAGATTTGGACGCTCGGCGAAGTGACCATAACGCACGAAAACCTTTGACAGCGGCTGCTTTGCAAGGCGTAATTGTTTTTAAATCATGACTTACTATTCCAAAGTCTTTATACTCTTGGACGCATGGAAGAGGTTTACTCTCAATAGTATAACGGTAACTATTACCGTGACCGATGTGCATTAGCACACGCTTCCTAGCATTGATTTCTAAGCCCCACTCTCGGGCCCATCTAACTAAATCGTCTAAGTCAGCTTGAAGATCCAGATGATCAGCCGCACTTTTTATTGTTCTCAAGATTTCTACGACATCCGCGAACAATAATGTCGACGACCTAAGCAACAGCAGTAATTCATTAACGTGGAGAAGGAAGAGCAGAGGGCCTAAGATGGTGCCTTGGGGTACATCACTTTTGACCGGCTTCCAATCGGATAGCGTTCCGTTGACCTCCACTATCTGTCTGCGGTCACATAAGAAGTTTCCTATCCACTCATGTACAGTACCTATTATTCCGAAGCTCGTGAGCTTCTGCATAAGACCTGCGTGTGAAACCTTGTCAAATGCTTTGCTAAAATCTATGAATATCACGTCGACAGACAGACTGTTATCTAGGGCTGCTGTCCAATCCTCTCTCGCAATAAACAAGTTAGTCAAGAGAGGACGGCTGTGAATTACGCGAGGACTTAAATGAGGTCCTTTAGGCCTGGTATGGCTGAAAAATTGACGTCTTCAGCCACATCAGATGTTGTGAAAGCCGATCTAAATCAGTCAGATAACAGTAGAAGAGCCCAATGAAGTTAGATGGTAGTGGTCAACAACCCACTGTTCAGAAAATAGATAACGCGGGCTCGGAAATGGAACACGCTATACAGGCGTAAGCCTGCGGCGGTAATTCGTACGGAACTGGCCGGCACACCTGAAACAGTAATCTACTTAAAGAGCAGATGACATGCTGCAGTAGAGCAGCACCATGCAACAGGACAAATCGTCCAGCGCCTCTACAGCAACCTAAGAAGACTATGGAGTAAACAAGTTGGAATCAGAAAGATGTGCTTTCAGTTAGACCTTCAGATCATAGTCTTCGCAGAAACATGGTCATCTCCAAACATCACACATGAATAAGAGAGCTTGTAATAATACTAGCTGGAGACGTCGTCGCTCCATACGTTAATCTCAGCAAACAGGATACAACCCCTTCAGAATGTGGTTTCATGGGCGACTTACGAGAGCTACTGAAAGTTCAGTATCTAATTTGAAAGTAATAACACTTTCTAACGTGGTTTAGAGGTTTTTCGACTTGTTCTTTTGTGGGCTGTATTGTACTGGGTACATTTTACCCCAGGACAATCACCAGTTAATACATACCTATCGCGGACTCCATTTCCTAGGTATCTTACACAAGCCTCCAGCGGTTGACATTGACGCGTTTTTATCTTCTGAATATTCTAATTGAAATATAAATGTTCAGTTGATCTTTACTTTCTTACGATATAGCTGAACACCCTACATCTGAAATACATTATATACCCATGGTCCTTGATCCTAGTATTAGCCCGGTTACTACTTATGAATAACTATGTACTCGGATATTCTATTGTGTTAAACGAGCTCTCTACTCACCCAGCTTCAAATTATGGTCGGTAGCTTCAATAAAAGAGAAATCTCGCCAGCTCCTATGCCAATAAAAGGCAAAAATCTGTAACATCTATGTCTGTTATTCAGTACATGATGATGTCAATCATTCATCTTCTGAACCCTGTGCGTCATATCCACGAATATTACTATCACTGCCTGGTCCCCATATAACAACACTTCTATCTTTTGATTCAGTACGCCAACGGGAAGACTGGTTAACACTAAAGACAAAATGCCTACATGCATCGAAAGTCGAAACAGTCTGTCAGCGGCAAGTTTTGCTAAGGCTTAAAACCGACATTTCAAAAACTGAACAGTCTAATACTTTGTCTCACATGTACGAAATTACTAATCAATATAGTACTGATATCCGCCAGTCACAGAACTCTTTTGCCGAAATTAACAGTGGACTTAATCAATGGCACCCTCATTTATGTAAAGGGACCTTATACTGATAAAAATCATGAACAACTCACTAAGGCTGAGTGTAATTCCGAGTTTCTGGTGGAAGAAGTAACGAAAAGAGTGTCGTCCCACGGTACACTTGCATACATTCTCCATGACCACACATACTCAAATAAGTTGAGGGATGCATGCCTTAAAACATGTCGAATGTTGAACTCAGCTGTCAGGTCATCCGCTTGAGAGAAAGGTCGGATAACTCAACACGCCCTTTCTTCTTTAAGCTTAGCTGTTATAACGATGCTAAATAACTTATTGTTTCGAACAAAAATATTAGCTCATTAGTTTCATATAAGAGCATTAAAGTCACTCCAGACCTAACGCCCTGTCAACGTTGTGTAAGAAGACGTTAAGTAACAGAATTGCATGGTAGTGTTACAGCAAAAAACCAGCTAGAGACAGTTCGCAACAGCAGCCTCAGCAGCAATAGGTCTCAATATACACAAAGGGAAAAGCAAGGTTCTCCGATACAACACAGCATGCAACAATCCAGTCACATTTGACGGAGAAGATTTGAGAGATGTAAAAACCTTTACATATTTGGGCAGCATCATTGATGAACACAGATGTGAAGGCGCGGATCGGCAAAGCAAGAGCAGCATATTTACAACTGTCAACCAACACCAAGGTCAGAATTTTCAATACAAATGTCAAGACAGTTCTACTGTATGAGGCAGAAACCTGGAGAACTACATAAGCCATCATCCAGAAAATACAGGTGTTTATCAACAATTGTCTACGCAAAATACTTCAGATCCATTGGCCGGACACTACTAGCAACAACGTACTGTGGGAGAGAACAAACCAGATCCCAGCGGAGGAAGAAATCAGGAAGAAGCGCTGGAAGTAGATAGGACACACATTGAGGAAAGCACACAACTGCGTCAGAAGGCAAGCCCTCACATGGAATCCTCAACGTCAAAGGAGAAGAGGGAGACTAAAGTACACATTACGCCGAGAAATGGAAATAGACATGAGAAAAGTGAACAAGAAATGGATGGAAGTAGAAAAGAAGGTCTAGGACAGAGTGGGTTGGAGAATGCTGGTCGGTGGTCTTTGCTCCATTAGGAGCAACAGGCGTAAGTAAGGCAGTAATTAGTTTAAAGCGCCTGAACAATAAACATGATGTCATTTCATAAACGTCAGATCACTCTATAGATCTAGATGGGTCTGCAGATCATAAACCCTTGAATAAGATACAGATTCCAACTCTCACAAAAATCACAACGACATTTCCTATCCCTTCTGTTCGCGCAGTAAAGCAATTAAATTTGAGCCATATGAAGACAAACATCTAGATAAACCTATTCATTTGAAAGTTAGTCCTTCTAAAGGTGCTTTACAAGATGACTATTGGTAGGCTTGAGTGCAACAGACCTTTTTGCATGCAGACTATCAAAATCTATCAGAGTACCGATCACTTCGCTCAATCCCTGAAGCCTGGAACCGTCAACAAGTATGTCGATAATAGGTTTCTCACCCCACACACTATCTCCGTTCCTCAGGATTTCCAATTGTAATCACACTCAAAAAGAAAACCCTCTACATCTTCCGGCACCAACCCACCACACATAAATAGCTCCTTTGTATAATAACAGTCATAACTACTTCCAGTTACGTGCAGCAGATCGCTCTCACGTTCACACCAACGCAAATAGCTATGACCAAAGATATGAGCTTAAATTTAAAGACCACGTTGCAAATAACAGTACGCTTCACAGTCAACTTGTACCGGATGTTTTTGGAATACGGCCCCTAATGGCACATCGATTGAAGCATATAGCTCAAGTCATTTCAAACCACACGAGGAACATAAACTTGCCTCTCCCGTGCAGTTTTGATCAGAGAGTATCTCCACCATTTTCTCCTGGGTAAACTCTCCAAGCAATTTCACTGGTTCATTTGATATATCCTTCTCTAATTCTATCCATCAAAATAACGAGCTACTGAAGAGCAACCAAGTTCTCATTTTAAACACATATTACACCCTGGACCCGGGTTTCG